AGCGTAGATATAACCAGTGGGACCATCCGATAGGTCAGGGAGTCTAATTGTAAGACTAATACCGGGACAGGAAGGTGAAGACAACAGGTTTACTCTGCTTGTTCCGAGTCAATTATATCAGAACTCCATGTCATTCCTACACAGTCTGGTCGTCGTTTTCTCTTTGTAAAGCTTTGGGCCGCAATCAGTAAAAGCTAAAAGCTTCACCTTTTCAGGTCGAATAGGCATTTTGCCGCTTGAATGGCCTTTTCAGGTGGAGGCGTTTATCGCCTGATATCACTCAGAGAGCGTCGTTATGGCGGTGGTGGGAGCAACCCTTTCGCAGGTGGCTAAACGTTGGGGATGACTTGATGGGACAAAAGCAAGCTGCAGCTGAGATGTAAGAAAGGTATGGGCCAAATGAGGATATGGATACGTATCATGGGTACCATTTTACCAAATCTGAAGGGTGAACCACCAGAGGTACCATCAAAGGTTATATAGTAGCTGTGGTGCCGACTGTCAAATTGCTGTAGCGGCTTCAGAATAGCGGAATTCTGGTTCATGGAGCGCGTAGATGTGTCGTAATTTTTCTCTAGACGGTTGAAATGCCCTATCACATGGACTACTGATCAGAAATTCGTCCTCGGGTGAGGCGTAAGTTTCCAAGATTTTATTAATTTCCTCAAAAAAAATCGCTCGTAATCAGTTTTTTAGTCTCCCTCTCGCACACATTCTTTCCTCGGGAGTCACATGCATTGGAAGTAATAGAGGCATAGAAGGCCCCGGACTGGGATCGATCTGTGGAGCATATGCAAAGCAACGCCTCTAACAACGAGAGAATTGCGTTCATCCTTCCTCGAATTACTCATTCTCCCGTTATTCTCCTTACTCATTCTAGTAAATGGTAAGTTTTTGCATAAACCATAAATCACGGTGATAAAAATGGAAAAAAGAAAAAGCGCTTTGGGTTCCTAAAGCCATCTTGAGTGCACTACATCCTCACAATCGTTGTTGAACATAATTCGTGTAATAAGAATGTGAGCACAAATGTAAAAAGCTTTTACTGCACTAGCTGATATCGGGTGGAACCTTAAAATCCGAATCCTACTTTTAGATTTGTTCATTTGCTCTCTCGAACATACTTTCCGTGACCATGAACAGCCATTTGGGGAAAAAGTACTCAATGCGTGCCGGGAGCTGACTGGCCAAGCTGTCAGATCAAACTTCCGATGAAAGTTCCGATTTTGATTTTGGGATTCAAATAGAATTCCAATCGGAAACGCTCGGGGATAAACGAATTCTAGCGGCCTGGGGGACTAACCAGCACCAGATATCGCAAATCTCGGCGAAAAGTCGATAAGCTTCCACTAGCCGCTAAGAGGCCCGAAATCCTGTTTGATGACCCACCCGCACCCGGGCAGCCGCGACCGAAACCTCCGTGTTTGGTTTGCTCTGACCTTCGGCCCCATCCCGCCGCCCGCCTCTCGCGCGTCGTCTGCCCCTCCGACCGCACCCTCCGTCGCCGCAACGGTTCAGCCCTGGTGTGCGCTCGATATCTGATATCATACCGGCCTTCAGTCGTCGTTCTTACCTTCTATTAAACCCCTATATCGTCTAATCTACACACTATCGTCGTCATGTCGCCCAGCTATTAATCGGGTATGGGTGGTTGTGCCGGAAAAACGGTAGCGACCAAACCGGCTCCACAGCCATTTCTTGAAGAAATGATGCCAAGGGCGAAGACGCCACCATCCGCGCAAACGAATTATCCTTGCTTCATTGCCTTATTTGAATATGAAGCTAGAACCGATGACGATCTTAGCTTCAAAAAAGATGAGGTGAGTCATTCTGGGCTTGTTTGTGATTTCCGTGCAGTTCAGTTTCCTCAGTGGTTGAATTTGTCTGACATTTCGTTTTTACATTTTTTTTCAAGAACACTGACCCCATAGTGCTGTCGTAGTAGATGTTCTGGGACCCTTAGAAATTTGTCCTGCTGTTTTTCATTTTATCTGTCTCTGAGTTTTCCATTCAGTCAGGAGAAGACAGCACTGGAACAGACCTTCCTGCTACTGGATAAGGGTGAAGGGTCAAGCACAAAGCCAAAGCTAGAGGTGTAGTGAGGTGGAGGGGTGCCGAAGGCTCACGCACAGCCCAGGGGAACCCATTATGAATCGGAACTCACCAGCCCAATCAGGCCTTTTAGTCATTAGGTGTCGTTCGATTGGTGTCAGAGCCATCTGGGAGCGGTGGTGGCCTTTGCAAGTTAATGGGAAGGCGAGATGCGCATCCACCCACTCCGACTATTTTGGATGGAAGTTGGTAATTTGTTGGTGCAATCGATTTGTCCTCTCATACATCGTGAAAAAATCGCGCTCAAGTACTTTACAGCTGGCTGCGTAGACATCTGTTTACTGTAGGAGTCATCCCGACGTACAAAAAAGAAGCGATTTTTACTTTATTGGGAAGTCTGAACTGTGTTGGGCAAATATTACCCTCAGCCCTCAACAAACCGACAATCAATGGATTGCCTCCACACACGGGCCATCTCCTCTTTATTGTGTTGACTCTCTCGACTCTAATCCGGTCCACCCTGCTCCTTCCAGGTGCTGGAGATTCTTAACGATACACAAGGTGATTGGTGGTTTGCTCGACATAAAGCTACAGGAAAAACTGGCTATATTCCTAGTAATTACGTGGCCAGAGAGAAAAGCATCGAATCACAACCGTATGTGTTTATACTTCTGATAAGAATGAGCTTCCAGGGTTCGAAGAAGTTCTTCCCGAGTCATTTTCAGGTGGTACTTTGGTAAACTCCGACGATTAGATGCTGAAAAGGCGCTTTTACTGCCTGAAAACGAGCATGGATCGTTTTTAGTGAGGAATTCGGAAAGTCGTCAAAATGACCTGTCCTTATCAAGTGAGTAATCAGTTTTATAGCCAGATTTTGAATTTTATGGTTCTGCTTTTCCTTTAGATAGAATTTTCTGGTTTCCAAGCCCAGTTACATTCGTTTTTCATAATTTGATTTGTTTATTTCGACGTTTTCTCGTTTTTCCATGCTTCGATGGATCCGTCTGACAAATGTACTCCTTTGTTTGTAGAGCCTATGAATGGCCTCGAAATTGCTGAGCTTGCCTGTCCTTCCCTTGTCCCTCGTCCGTCCCCAGACACCCTGACGCCGTATTACCCCCTCCACCTTCATATTTTCTTACAATTTGGTCCTTGCACTCTTTCTGAAGAGCTTGAGGGGACACAGTAGGCAAATATCGATGGGTCGTGGTCTCACAAGGTGAGCCAGATCCTTCTGAGGATAATTAGGTGGTTCTAGAAGGAAACCCTAGTTGATTGAGGATTGAAAAACGCCATCGACGGCACTTGACATTGACCGGACCTCAAGCAAATTCCAAAGGTTGAGCCATATTTACTTATTGATCGAGTCATACGATCATGTGCCAGGATTAGGACCCCCTTGTGCCACAAATAAGATTGGGACCATTTTCTTCCCAGAAATTACTGTGGGTCGGATGGTGGGAGCAGTTTTATGAGAGAGTTCGGTGTTTTCTGGGCAACAAATTCTTCATGCAATCGCAAGATGTGTTAGTAATGAGGCAGTGTAGTAAACAAAGGACTAGATTATGGATATCCATGGGGTGCCTACCTACATAGTAACGACCATTGATTGCGCATGGGATTGTGTACACATACAGCGGTGTATGTGAACACCTGTCGTCACTGTTTTATCCCTTCTGATCGAGTTCAGATATGGGTATCGATTTCCCAATCCCTGAGAAAGCATGAGGAGCTGGGAGCTGTAGAGGAGAACCTGTAAAGTGGTGACACTCAGGGCTTCAGATCGTTAACGACTTGTTCTGCCTTTATTCACCTTTCCTACTTCATAGCTACATTCTTTCTCATTCTTATGGAGTGTTAATGACAGCGTTGCTAGTTCTGCCACATTCCGACAGCTAGCGTTACCCTACCTACACTTTTTGGCATGGAACTGGCCCATTTACCTATCTATGAACCTTAGAGATACAGCTATATGAGAGTGTCTGAGAGAGTTGCGGGAACAGTGCCACCTGGATGACTAAACCGTTTAAGCTGACCATTGTAGGGCCCCTATACGGTCTGGGTTAACTACGTAATGCGAGTACATATACTTGAGTATCCGTCTCATTCTTTCACTTCTGTTGGGTGGTAATCGGCATTTACTGAGCTCAGTTCTAGTCGACGTCTCTTTACGCCGGTTACGATCTCTGTTCGAGTTCTCGTGCTGTCGTCACAGTTTTTTTTTGGTATTTTCAGTCTCACTATCGCATTCCCCACCATACTTTTGATTGATCTTGACATAATATCTGGGAGCGATGAGATGAAGACCTTTTTTTCGGAAAGCAAGAGTTTTTCTTTTTGAACCGTGTCCCTCTAAAGGAGTTTCCCGGTGTCATGACGAAATTTACCCCGGAATGAAAAAGATACCTGTGGGAATTGGGTTTTCGGAAGCTATCGCCGGATAAGCATTACGACGATCTGGGAAAACTAATTCTTTCTGGGTTCTTCCTAGGAAGCGGGTGATTCCGATTTTGGGGAATGGTAAACCATTGTCCCATATCTTGTAGACAGTGTGGCCAGTTTCTGTTGAAGTGACTGTGCGAAAAAAGACTTATTGTAACCTTAACGATTTCCAATCAATACTCATCTTTTCCGTTGCAGTTCGTGAAGAAGACTGTATAAAACACTATCGAATTCGTCAACTGGATCAGGGTGGATATTTTATCGCAAGGCGTCGACCGTTTAGCACATTGGAAGAGCTCATCGCTCATTATAGTGTCGATCCAGATGGCCTGTGTGTGAAATTGACAAAACCATGTGTGAAATACGAAGTACCACAAACATCTACTTTCACTTACGGTTAGTTCATTTTCATGTTTCCCCTTTATTTGTTCATCCTTCGAGTTACCTGAACTAATGGGGCGATCTTTTCGACCATAAAGGACAAGTAGCCTTCTTCTGCAAACAGGAAACCTCGCCATAGAGTGAATCATACAGTTTACACTTGAAGAATTAAAACGTTCTGAGGGTTAAATAGACGAGATGCTGTGGGCATGAAAACGGAAGGGAATGCTCCCAGCAACAGTTCGAGGCGATGAAAACGCTTGGTGCAGGTCAAAGAACATTTTTCCAAACTCAGCCGCAGCGCAAACTTCCGCTAATTTTCCATGTAATTGGGCCGGAACAGGACATCCGGGAGCCCTTGCGATTACCTATTTTCAAGAATGCATTGGAAACTGGGTGATGTGAAACAGATGCATCCCGAAAACGTCCAGACGCAGTCCATTCGCATTAAATTTACTGTTTTGCAATGACCGAATTTCGATTTTTTTATTGATAAGCGTGAAAAAAAGTTACGTAGGAAGTTTTTTTTCCATTCTTGACGATCCCACTTGCAAAACTCATCCTTGGGGACCAATTTTCGGTTTTTTTTCGTTGAGATGGCTCTTCGCTTTCCATCTTGAGTAACTTACAAACTTAAAGAAATCAATCGGCACCCTGAAATCAGGTCAAGGATGAGGGGTGCCGAGGAATTCGCAATTTCTCTCTGCAATTCATCAAAAACGGCGCTATCAGTTCTTATCAACGTCAGTTTCACTAACTGCTGAAGGTTGCGTTTAGAGTGATCACCCTGGCCGAGAAATCAATTCGTTCTTCATTATGTCTTCATAGATAAATCCAGCAGACAAGGGAAACCTGGGAAAATGACAGAATAAAGCGGATTAAGCGAAGAATTAGGAGAATGTTGGGGGCAATTACCTTTCTGACAGCAATTGAAGTGTGCTGGGACATTCCTTCAACCCTGGTGAGTATCTATGCGAAGTACTGGAGGTTCACGAACTACCTGGTCCTTCCAGCCACCATCTCACTGAGGGAAAGAGATCAGTTTACCACTTTCAATCTGAAGATCTTCCTTCACGTCTTCTCTTTCTCGATTTTTTTTGTCTCAGAATGTTAGAGTAAAGTGGGAGGGGACACGTCATTTTACGTCCTTTTCTTCCACAAAAACGGCCGAGTTCTCCTTTATTTGTCAAAGATCTCATTTCATTCCCATACCGTATCTCATGGTTTTCAATTGCAGACGATCAATGGGAAATCGATCGGCGCTCGGTTCTCTTCATCAAACAAATTGGGGCCGGTCAGTTCGGAGAGGTCAGTTTTCCTCGTCACACATCAAACTGTCCCCAGTGGCTCCGCCCATGCCGACTAGCTAATCGCCCGCACGCATGAAATGCGATCACAGAGGGGTTTTTTTTTCGCTCAGGCGGGGGCAAGCGAGAGGATCAGCCTATTTAGACGCGGCGACATCACGCTTCTCTAGTGGATGGGAATTAAATAGAAATCGAGGTCGGCCCGATGCAGATGGTCGTTGAAGGCCATGATTCAACGATGTTCATGGGAAATGCCTTCGTGATTAATCTCTCGCTCTCTCCCTTCTCCCGCATGACCGCCTCCCAAACCGGATTCGAAGCTTAGAGATCTTATCGGGTGCTTCGCGATAAATTCGTACTGATACGATGTACCAGGAAGGGAAGGACAAATGAGTGATCGATGGGTCCTAAATAGAGACATTTTTCAGACATCATCGAATCGATGCGAGAAAAATGTCTATTTCTAGGACTCATCTATCACTAGGACTATTTAGAACCAGGTCATGATGTGGGGATAACTTACTGGGGAGCTGGTTGTTTGTCCATCTCCCCAGTAAGTTACCAACCACCCGGGCTTCCAGTAAGTTGCCCGCAACCTGTGATCATGAACGATTTACTTGGTGGAAAACGTTTGTGGGCAGTAGCTCCCACTTATAATGGAGCAGTCCCATTACTGTAAAACCTGTTTACTGCTACGTACTGTTCCCTAAGCACTCAACAGAGAAGTGATGGCTTGATTAGGCTAATCCTAATCGTTTCACCCAGGACACATTTTGTGACGATGGAATTCTTACACAGGAGACCGTTAGGAGGGGGGGGGGAGAGAATAAGAGGAAAGTTTACTATGAGGACTGTGGATAAAGGAATAGATGACATGGAGACTTTAAGGGACCCACTATGAACTCACTGTGTTCCTACTTTGCTACTAAAAGGGTATGGTTTAGGTCTTAGACGTAGAAGAGTTACAAGTGGGGTCGTATTCAGGCAAAGAAGCACAACATCGAGTACTCCCCTCCGCGCCTCTCTTACCCTCATATGAGGAGAAGCTTCCTTTTGGCGACTTTTCTGCGGTTTCCCATCCTGATCGAGGAGGATCCAATCTTATGGTACTCACCTGACAAGGAAATAAGTGGATAATTGGACTAAAATTAGTAAACAAGTGAATTATCAAATTAGTAGGCAAAACAAATGGGTGAGATTGTGTTTCAGGACGATGTGGGTGACAAATAGGTGCTACCTTTTTCTTTGTATATCACTGAGGTATCCAGGTGCCATTATATTCCGTTCCGTGCAATGTCCGAATACATGCGTACACAACAATGGCTTAAGTACAGGGAATTGACCGGATTACTGGCGGTTATGCACCCGCATGAATACACCCGCGTACGTAAATTAACGGTCCCGCAGATATCGCTCGGGTTGAATTATCTCATATGGTCAAGTAGGGTTAATAGCTTTATGGATAAGCCAAACAGATTCCCATTTATTAAAGAGGCTCTTGCCAACCCGAATGGGTCGCATAACTGCTCCTAGGGGGAGGGGGGGAAGGGGGAGGTGGTATTCGGGAAAACGTTAACAGAAGCCCAGATGGGTTTTATACGTAGCAACTTTGACTTTTGTTGGACCCTTGTGGAACTATCGTACATTCTTTCTCTAGGGGACACCCTTTTGGGAATCGGGTTGATATTAGGTACGGAAACGGAAAGGGAACGTACGGGTACGGAAAGGATGACCGAAAATTTAGTAGTGGTTCAGAATTTCCGTGATGTTCTAGAAATCTCCATGGAATTATGCTACAAGAAGGACACTGCCCACTTGTGCGTCTAAACTGGTCCCCTTTCCGTGCTTACTTGATCCTATGATGACCGAATTGAATTCCATATTAGACAAGTACATTTTACGAGTTTTAATCCGGCCACTTCGCTCCTGAAGCCCATCGTAACTCATGTCAAGTGTTTGGCCCCGAAGCCCTTGCTAAGCGGATCTGTGCACGTCTCGTTCCAACGCTTCCAAATCGAAAAGAAGTAGGTCGAAGATGAGTCTCGGTCTACTTAACTGACTGTCGCACCATGAGAACCCCGTGTATGTTATGTGCATACAAAAGGAAACTGCCGAAATATTCCAAAGAAAAGCCGTACATTTGTGAAATATTCGACGCATCTTTCTCGAAGACGTAGTGTTAATGGTGTTAATGGTGTTTTGAGGAAATTGTAGGTAGTTATCAAGGTCGTTTTCCGTGACGCGCCATGCTTGACCTTAATTGTAAGCATGCTATGGCCCAAATATCATGCCCAGTTTACCCTGGATAGTCTGCCCCTAGGGCGGAAAATCTCCCTGCCCACAAACGCTTTTGGGTTATGACGGTAAAAGCGTGTATCGTGGAACCTGTCAAGCGCTTTCGGCTATGACAGGGTAAGTGTGTTTCGTGGAACCTGCTTCAGGATCGAGAAGCTCGCATAAGGGGACCGTGGGTGAAAAGCAGTGCTATGGTATAGCGCAGAGGATGGATGTTTCTAATGGGGAGGGGGGGGGGGGGGGGAAACGATGCCTCCCTTGAGTCCTCCGATTTACGCTCACTACTGAAAACACGACAAATAAAAAATCTAAAAGTTGCCACGTTAGTTGAACATAAGTGGGCGATCTTGAGGACATTTGTTAGCTCGGGAATTTGGCGTGGACTGGACTTCTGAGTGCAGGGTGAAAGCGAGGCCACAGTTGGTGTCGTCAATTAGAACCAGTGCGGCTAGGGGGTTCGATTGGAGACCAATGCATTATCTCCTGGAATTACAGAGGCGTCAATGGGTAGGTGAAAGTTGTCTGGGATGACAAAAACTAAAAGACTAGTCTGCCAAGTGATCCGTAGATAAACGCCTTTACCAAATAGCTACCTACATATGATTAAATGCCTTCACGGTTCTGAATGAAATGAGAGCGCATACCTAATTCTGAAAGAGGTTCGAGCTATACTCTAAAAAACCTTCATTCTTCCCAGTTGCGCCAAAGAGAAAGAGCTAGTGATAGCCCAAGAAAAAGTAAAATGCTCTGAAAAGTCGTGAATGAGTGGTTGTGTCAACAATGGCGAATTTGCGCATACCTCCCCTATTTATTTGTTTTGTGATAAACATTAACAGTGTTGTGTTATTCCGATTTGAACAACCCTCTTTACTACTTGTTTGCAGGTGTGGGAAGGTCGTTGGAACAGTACGGTACCAGTAGCCGTGAAAAAGTTGAAATCGGGCACAGCAGATCCGGCTGATTTCCTTGCTGAAGCCCACATCATGAAGAAGCTGAGGTAAGGTACATTGTTGGGCAAAATGTCCACAAGGAAGAGGCAACTTCCTCAAATGACTTCAACTAGGTCACTGATGGCTGTCAGGATTAGCCCCAAGTCGGTTTTTCTTAGTAGGAGTTTTTGGCCCGTCTTTTCAACATTGGGTTCCTTCCTACCTTGACTTACGCTTCAGAGACTTGGCCTCGGACTCAGCCCAAGCAGGATGAGCATGCAGTAAGAGCAAATCAGCGTACAATGGGAAGGACAATGTTCGTAATGTCCCGATACACACAAGTGCAGAGGGGAATCCCGAGTTCCGAGCTCAGTCAACAGGCGATGATCGAGGACACCGTTACTTCGCTAGGAAGTCGAAGATAATGTGGGTCGGGCACCTCAAACGAATTACTGGTGACAGTTGAATCACGGCGATTAGTGACTAGGCCTCCTCGAGACGTCAAACGAGTACAAGGACGGTCACCAGCCTGATGGTCAGACTACCTTACGGAACTTCTGGATGGATGACCGCTAACCTAATGTTCCCCTTAGCGGGAGTGTTCAGTGGGGTATTGGCTGTAGGCATAGGTCACCCAACGTTCACATTAAGCTGGAAGAAGCTGAACAACGCAAATGCAAACAACTCTCCAGACGAAATGTGACTGTTTGGAAACCATCCAAAACTAAGTAAACAGAACAAAGTACTCGTTACACTCGACTACACTTCACCCCACGCCTAATGATGTTGCTGAGTATCCGTTTCAGTGAAAACTACTTTGCGCAAACCGAAAATCGAGCTATCGCTCATTTTNATTATCATCCGTTCGGATCTTGACACAGAAGTTCAAGGAACAGGCCTCTACAGAGTCTAAAGAATATATCCCAAAGAGCATCACCGAGTTTACCGAGCCTCCCTCCATTCATCGAAACAACAAGCTTGTAAATCGTGTGAAAAGTTAAAGGGAAATGAGCTTAAGTGGAAAAAGAAAATCCCTTGTCTTCCTCTGGCCCCACCCGCACAACCTCGTCTCGATTGAGACAGATTCCTATACCTCCAAGATTCAAGGAATGCAAATGCATAGTGATCCTGATGATTCCCTTCCACGAAGGATTCGAATGTAGGCCTCGTGGTAATGATTACCTACCGAAGGAGGTGGAGGCAGAGGAGGAGGAAGAGGTATAGCCAGCTTTGACCCATTACGGTAGGTGCCCAAGTCATCTGGGAGATTTCGGAGATGTATGTGTCCTTCAGAGGCAGCTGATCCAAACCGCACAGCTCTTTTTCAGGCATCCTAAGCTACTTACCCTGTATGCAGTCTGTACAAAGGATCAACCGATACTGATAGTGACTGAGTTGATGCAGGAAAACCTGCTCACGTTCCTTCAAGGCAAAGGACGACAGTGCACACTGGCACATCTCGTGGAAATAGCNGCGTTATCTCTCATATTCCCATACAAGGGATAGGGACAACCTATCCTCGTATCCGTCAATCTGTCTTGCACTGAAATTAGATAAATTTTCCCTGAACTATTAGTTTGCGGTGCTTTGAAATTAAGGATGATGGGTTAAACGATCAGCATTTCCTTTTTATGATTACTGTAACAAAGCGGAACGCGCTCAAGTAAAACAGTTGAACAAAATCATTGTTCGGTCCCACTGAGATATTGCCTTATTGTGTTTTACTGTCTTACTGTAATTTATTGATCAAGACTTTTCGTGTACTTCTGAGGTTCAAGGAGGAATGTAACCTGTAGTGAGAGCGATGATTTCCTTCAGCAAAGAATTTGAGTTTAGTCCTGGTAGAGCCTCATTTTTTTTCGAGATCAGTGAACATTGAATTTTGGATATATCCAGATATCCCATGAAGGACGTAAACGACTAGACCACAGAATATGGACATATTGACTTTCCGTTATATTGAAATTATGAATTATTTGATTTTTTTTAGTTTTATTTATGCGACAAAATATGAATTCGCGGAGAAAAGTTATTTTGAAGCAGCCATCTATTGTTATCTAATAAACTTCACTGAGCTTTTGTTCTCCAAACATTGCTTTTTCCCTTCGACTAGCGCCTAGTTTCCGACAGCTACTATCAAAAAGAAAATTTACCGTTCCTACCTTCCCGGTACTTCTTTCAGCCTGAAGCTGTACGGAAGAATTGGAGGCTTAAAAAACAGAAGTACTAAAAGGAGCTGCACGAGATTATGTCTCTGTAAGTGTCTGGGTGTCTCCCTCATAAGCGCACTAATCGTCGGCGTCATAGACTTCACTGACAAGGACGTCAAAAACGGCCACTTCCAGGTGTTTACGTCGGCCAGGCCGGTTTTGAAGCCCTTATAACGCCCTGCCGAGGTCGTTTTTTGACCGGACTCATCTCCCGTGCTATCCCTGGAAGCCACAGGCTCACCTTGGAGGGAATCTCGAAAAGCACTTTAATC